ACAGCGCTAATTTTACAGCTAGTGCTGTTTTCCAATTCTGGTTCGCGCTCTAGTAAAGTCAAGTCAGCGTATGAAGCGAATTGATTGGTGCTTCAGTACAATAAATTAGTTCTGAAGCCTAATTTTGATTCTACTTGGCGAGAACCAACCAAATTAGTTCTCAACGCTAACTACTTTTTTTTCAGTGTATAATATGTTAAAATAGCGTGAAGGAAAGAGGTTTAATGACGTAAAAAAACACTATTGTGTGATCAATTTTCAACGACAATTCTGTAATTTCTCCTACGATTTTAAATAGATTAAAACGCGTAATATCCAAAATCTAATCTCAGATTCGGATTCCTCGTGAAAAATTGATGAGACATCATGTATCATATCGACGGTGAAACTACCAAACCACGTATCTCGGTTTGCGACGTCGCAGACTTCCTGTCATACTTTATTTTTTAAATGAAAAACTACTTAACGTCTAGTCTTGAAAATTTCTGTGATTTTTCCTCTTTGTGCGGAGAAAATTCTGTGAAAATTTCAAGGAATGATATTGATTTGGTCGACTTCAAAAAAATAAAATGCGAGCGTAGATTTTTAAACACCGCAAACGAGATACGTGGTTTGGTAGTTTCACCGTCGATATGTTATCATAGCGTTGAGGAAAGAGGTTAAAGAACGCGTATGAATTCTGTCATACTCCCCCTTTGAAGTACGCCGCCCAAACGCCGCCGCGCCGGTCGCCCGAGATGCAACCGAACGGGGAGGCGCCGGCCGGCGCTAAGCAGTCGGTTTCGTCCCGAGGAATTCCTCACGATAAATTCTTATTCTTCCTCCTCCGCTGACCCACTGAGCACTACCCATGTTGCCACGTTGCATTCATATGCTCGAATCAGTATGTCTACGTTACGTTTCTTTCCTTCACGCTATGCTCGGGTATGATACATGAAATTGCATCGATTTTTAACGAGGAATCTGAATCTGACCTTCGATTCTGGGTATCATGCCTTTTAAATCAAATTTTTTAAATTCAAAAATCAGAAATGACGGACGTAGCCTAAATTGCCATTGCGGCTCCTGTTCGGTGGATTTTTCTGAAATTCGGTGTCAGGGTACGATATATGAAATCGCATCGATTTTTTACGAGGAATCCGAATCTGAGATTCGATTTTGGGTATCATGCCTTTTAAATCAAAATTCAAAAAAATCGAAATTCGAAAATCCGAAATGACTAAAGTGGCTTAAAATGCTATCTCGGCTCCTGTTCGATGGATTTTTCTGAAATTCGGTGTCTGATGGTATTTTTTGACGGGAAACTCGAATTTTTAGTCAATTTTTGAAAATTTTCAATTCCAAGATGGCGGACGTGGCCTAATATGCTGTCTCAGTTTCTGTTCGTTCGAGTTCGGTGAAACTCGGTATCGCGGGGTATTTTTCGACGGAAAACTCAAATTTCCAAAATTCGTAAACCCAAGATGGCGGCCGTGGCCTAAAATGCTATCTCGGCTCCTGTCGGTTTTTGTGAAACTTAGAAAAAGGGGAAATCATTCCAGTCAAATCTACAAAATTTGAAAATGATGATGGCTAGAAACCAGAGCATTGTATGGTGGGTTATGAAAAACTATTTTCGCAGGAACAAAGTAACCCGCTTCTTCAAAAATAACAACTTCACACTCATAAGTATAGTGAAGAAAGTTTAACCCAGGATATTTTTTAACTGACAGTAGGTTTTCCATGTGAACTTTTGATGAGACGCTGGTAAATTATATTGTATTTGTGGGCATTCCTTGGAGTTCGAATAGTGGTATCGAAGTTCCTAGTGTACGAAAGACTAAAAGGTTGTGAATTTGTTTGATCCTTTAAAACCTAATCAAACGCTTTAAACGTGAGTTGTTTTTACCTCACTTGTAACTTATAGGTGCATTCTGCTTAACATGAAGATTTTCTACATAAGTTGCTTCTAAAAATAATGTTTAAAACTTTGAAGCGTCAATCGTTCACTCATTCCTGAGTTTTCTGAGTAAGTGGAAAAAACGTGTGGTATATAATGACAATTATGTTGTAAGCGTAGTTTCATTTAAAGACGGTTTTGGGAGTTTCTTAAACTTTAAACCATGGAGCCAAAAATATAGAATGGGTAAAAAATTCCAAGATACAGGTTCATAATCCAATTTTTTTATTTATTTATTTTTTTTATTTTTTTTTTTTTTAAATGTTTCTTTCAATTCATTATTCGTGCATTGTTCTAAACAACTCGTTTTTCGTTAAATGCACCTCGAGGTAATTAAAAAAAAGAATACTTACCTTTAATTATATTATTCCTAAGGGGTCCTTAAGGTCTAGGTCTATCTCTTCTCTTGGTCTAGTTATAAAACCGAGGTAATGATTTCGTTTTTACTTGCCTGAAACCTCTGTCATCAAATTGCGTCAGCTTCTGTCTTTTAAAAGCCATCAGGACCTTAAAAATTGTATGATGTCGTGAGGTGACGCATTAACTCACGACAGTTAGCATGCTCGTATGAATGCTATGAAGGTAATGCTACGCACCTCTTTCTCGCTGAGTGCTTTGCTGTTGCGAAGAGAGTCGTGGTCCATCCACATGTAGGTTGTAAGGTATCGTATACTGTGAAAAAACGATAGCTCTGTCGTTGTGTTGAGGTTGCTGAAATCCAAATAGATGACTGGGTATTCCCGAAAATGATCATCGCAAAACTTCCGGTCCTCGCACACCGCCAAGTCCTTGAACACGGTTTCGTTCCATGTCTCGGGTTTTTTTATTGTCGGTTTGTAATTCGCATCCAAGGGCATAACTTCCTTTTCAAAGAATCTAAAAATTCGTAAATAAAGAAGCATGTAAAAAAATCATGAGGTCCTTCGGTTGACAGTAATCACGAGCATTAAAACACAATTTTATCGGAGTCTCTTTTGCTGTTCAAGTGCCTTGGGTGGGCAAAAGGGGTCCTTAGGGGCTTGCCTGCCACTCAAAAACAAAAAAATAAATGCATAGATAAAATCTGCGGAAGGCAAGGATTAGGGTTCTAGATGGGAAGAAAAACCTAAAAGCTTAATGAAATGTCCCTTAATTTGACCATTGTCTGGTGAGGAAGTAAAATTTTTGTACAACCTTCTTTAACACTATTGAAAACTATACTCGACCATCTCTTCTGTCCTCAACCGAGTGAGAAAAAAAGAATTCGAGGGGGGAGGGGAGGGGTTAAGAAATTCCTGAGGGCTTGCAATTACTATGAATTGAGCTTAATTCAAATGACAAAGCACGCAATTTCATTACGATACTTCAAATTTTACACTCCCGCTTTGTTCTTTTTAAATGAATAATACTTCCAACTTTTGTAAAGCAAAGAATTTTCTTGAAGAGAAAAACTAAAACCGCACGAATACTTGCGCAGTCAAAATAATAAGTCATCATTGTGAATCTTAATAAAGGTAAGACGTGACAGAAAATTTGCAACGTTATAAAAACCGCGGTGTATTACAGAATTTCACGTAAACACATCTTCGTGTGAGTTTTTCACCGGTATGAGATTCCAGACATGTGACCATTACCTCCTAATCATGAGCTGGTTGGTGGTTCGGCCGAGTTTCGGTGGAGCAAGAAGGGCCAAATGACGGCGTCGAGAGATGAACCATTTCAAAAGTGGGGTCTTGTCCACGTACCCCCCAGTTTCAACGAGCTCATCAAATTCTTCCCAATGGTTATCCCAGTAGTCGTCCCATGTTTCCGGATGCTCATCGGAATCGGCTTCCTGAATAAATAAATAAATAAATAAATAAATAAATAAATAAATAAATAAATAAATAGATAAATAAATAAATAGATAAATAAATAGATAAATAAATAAATAAATAGATAAATGGATATATATTGTATAAATAGATAAATAACTAAATAAATAAATAAATGAATAAAATAACAGGATGTGTGGAAAATGACCTTATCGTATCTTTCGGAGGCAAATTGTCCATGGGAACCAAAACAGGGGAAAAGGTCAAAATTTGCAATTTTAAACTCTTAATGGGATTTGGGAAACACTCTCTAGAAACTGTATATAGGAACAAGCATACACGCAGTTTTCGTAATGTGGTTCACGTGTGGTGATTCAAAGTTCCCTCTCATTGGGCATGGGCAGTCAGGAGCTAATAAGTAGTAAAAACTTCTGGGTTTGCAATTTGAAATGAGTTAAAATCTCTTTCAAATTCTTCATTAATTGATGCTAAAAAATTCCTGAGGCCTACCTACTTGATAAGCGTATGAGTAAAATAAAACGCACCACTATAGCAACTAGACATGCACTAGCGAATATTGTGAATAAAGTTTTCTGAGACATAATTCCGAGACTTGTACAATCTGTACACGAATCCGACAACAACAAAAAAGATTATCACTGCAAAGGGAAACATTTGACAATACTCAATCAAAATGCGTTTACAAGATCTCGAAGCTCATCATTAGGGATAACGGAGTGTTATGAAAGACGGAAGATGTGTGAGACAAACTTTTGATGAGGTACGCAGCAGACTACAGGGAGTTGTCGAGAATGTGGAGAAAAATACGTTGAACAGTTTTGAGTGCACAAATCAAGAGTTATCATCTCCTAACGAAGCTTTATAGATTCAAATCCGAGATTTATAATGAAAAAGGAATACATCCAGGTCAGCCTATTCCTCCCATTTCTTCAATGTAATCTTATCATTATATATTTGTGACTGTAATAAGAATAAAATTCAATCACCTTAAATTATTGTATTCATATTATGCGGAGAAAATTGAAAGCGAAATGATCTTCCTTATAACAACGCCTTAATACAACTATTCGTGTTCGATGGATGTCCGCATTGCATACTTGAAAAATTGCAGGCGCTCTGTCTTTCCAAATTACAACGCCAGACTGCAACAATTCGTGCTTGAATTGAATCCTCGGAATTCGAGTAAGACGTGTAACATCACTACTAAGTTGCTAAATAGTGTAATTAAGGTGATAGATGCAAGAAGCCGCTTTATAGGGATCTATGAACCTTTTAAAGGAAAACGGTTTTGCACATCCTCATATTTTAAGTAATATTTTTTCAAAATTTCATGACACTTTTTCAGGGATTGAGCGAGATATCGATGGCCAAATCACGGAACCACGAACACACATTTTCGTTTGCAACGTTGCAGACTTCCCGTTATACTTTATTTTTTCTTTGGAAAACTAGCCAACGTAATTTCTTAAAAACTTCCTTGATTTTTCTTCTCTGATAGCAGAATATTCTAAATTTTTAAGTCATAAATAATTTGACCTATTTCCCCTCGAAATAGTACAATTAGAACGCGAATTTTGAACGCAGCAGAGATAATTTGTTGCGGACTTTGGTCATTAATATGCTGATTCTGAAGGAAACGAATTACTAATTTTAGGATCTTTAAGGCACGTAGAACCAGAACGTATAATTTGATGGTATCCTCTGCTCCTTTCTTTCTCATTTATACGTTGCAATAAGGATACGCATTTTCAGTCATCTATGTACTGAGAGCAGTTTTAAAATAATCTTAGATTATTTTTAAACCTTCATATTAGTTTATCATCCACCACTCATTTTGGGTAGGCGTACACGCATTTCTAGAATATCGCACCAAGATTCGTAAGCCATGATTTTAGGAGCCAAACAGCACATAGATCCAAGAATCCCAGGACCTATCCTCCGCGTTTTATGTTCAGTGGTTGATTTCTAGGGCACCTAAACCTTAAATTTTAAAGTGAGCGCCTAGTACACTTATTTGATGAACGGTATGCAAAGATAGCCTATTTTTACAATTCTCAAACCTAACTCGTTTATTCAAGGGCAAGTAATGAAGAAAAAATGAAAAACATTTAATTAACGATGGAATTAAAATAATAAAATAAGAACACGATTGATAACTGATGAGTCAATGAATGAAATTGTAGTATAATACAAGAGAATTTCTCAGAATTAACAGTGATTTTGGAAAAATTCCCAAAAATTTGTGACACGTTAAGCAGGCAAAATGAATCAAATGAGCAAACCCTAAATACCTAAACTTTTACATCTTCAAATTTTCTCAAAGATCCTTTTCCCAAAAATGCACACGGCTAGACGCGTTGTGTCCCACCGATATCTCCAATCTCATTGACCCCGACCTCATCGGCATCACGACGAACTTTTCTCACTACCTCTATTCAAGTGATAATATACCGGCAGTTTCTTGATCGACTTATTCCGACACGGTTTACTCGGCCTTAATATCTAAACTCTAAAATATATTTTGTTCCCAAACACTCTACAATATATTTTTACACTTTTCCGTCTTATAGATAAAGTACCTTTCGCGTGGATCATAATTTCAAAGCATTTTTTAAAGTTTTACTGTCCGTTTATATAATTGAGGATAGGTTTTCCATCAACATGTGCTGCTTTGAATATATATTTACGTAAAAAGAACACCTTCGCGCTCTAGATTACTCTTAGAACCTTTGTCACTTTTAAATTGATTGGGAAGCTGTGAATTTCCCGTAACTTTTATTGCTGCTTGCGTGTGTAACTATCATCCTAATTTGAAAGAAAAATGCCGTCCAAGGAAAAGCTCCCTTTAATTATTGGGAGTGCCAGTAGTGTCAATCGCAAATCATGCTGTGGTAAGTTAGTACCCTTGCCTTAATTAATATATATGTTTGTGCGTTTGAAGTTGTAAGCTGATCGTCGTTAAATAAAATTAACTAACTAACTAACATTGGACTTTCTTGGGTAACCATGAGCGTGTCATTTGGACTGCAGTCAAAAATGTAAAATTAGAAAGCTCGTACGATGGAGGAATTTATTATTTTCGAAATTGAGCTCTAATTGTTGGAGAGAACAAGGGCAAGGAATTAGTCAGCCACGCTGGTCACAGAATTCCACTTTTAAACTAAAGTATCTTGGGTATAAGTGGGATGTAATTAATTGTTGGATTTGTTCAAACTCCAAGTCACCGATCCATTTTAACTTTTGCATCGTTGATTGGTGAAACATAGTAGAAAAAATACAAATATTCAATTGGACGTATTTCTATTAAACAGAACTATTTGCATTGAGGATTGAGCCCTGAGACCCATAAAAGTGTATGCATAACAGGGCTCACGTCATTATGCACATAGTTCCGTTTGAAAAAAATACGTCCAATTAACGTGGTAATTTGATGATCGAACGTGACGTCGAGAAGCGCCTCCCTAATTTTTGTTCACCTAAAAGATTCTAACAGCACAACACGATTTTCTGGTAAATCTACCGTTTCTCATTTGCTGTTGCCCTCTCTCTTTCTCTCTTGGGGAGTTCGATTTACCTCGAATAGTATTTCCTATCAAACCCCTCCTCTTTGAGCTTGTGGTATTGCAATCGTAGAAAGACCACTCGCCGTTCAAACTTGCGCGTCTGACAAAGCGCCTGCAATTTTTTGTATATGCAACGTGGACGTCCTTTGAACACGAATAGTTGCATCTAGCCGTTCGGCAGGATACGTCCATTTTTCCGAAATTACGACTTCAAATCTTCATTTAGTAACTCGCGTTTATTTTGACATTATCATACGTTTTCTCCTTGAAATCGTTGCTCCTCCGACGTGAGGGGTAACATGAGTCCTGTTGCCCATAATTTCCATACTGTGGGGGGCTCATTTGGAAATGGAGATACGCCCTCAGAGTAGCGACGTCGTCAAACACTCGTCCATGCTGTGATATCAATAACCTATTTTTGAGTTTTTGTAGACTGAAGTCCCTTTGCCCAAACATGGTCATAGTTCAGTGGTCCTACCTATAATCGGTGATAGATTTAGTCAATTCTTTTTACATTTTGTAAGGATGTTGTATAGACAGTGCAGTATCTATATCGACGGTGTAAGTCGGCAATCACATAACTCGTTTGCGGTGTCTGAAAATCTCCGCCTCTATGTTAGTTTTTTAAAGGAGAACAAATTGACATAATTTCTTGAAGTTTTTGAAGAACTTCGCATAGAGAAGAAAAATCACGACAGTTTTAAAGAATTGCCGTTGAGTAGTTTTCCGTTTAAAAAAAAATTATGATAGGAAGTCTGCGACGTCGCAAACCGAGTTATGTGATTGCCGACTTACACCGTCGATATGCTGCCCAGCTTAGGAAGAACGCCGTATGGACATTCTAGAGTTGCCAAATTTCCTTCGATAAAATGTTCATTTTTGAGGAAGTTATGAACATTTTTCCTTTGAATTTTCAGAATCTTTAGGCGAAATTACGAACGAAATTATCTGAAAAATTAGGAGGAAAATATTTATAAATTTATCAGGAAATTCGCGGTTTATAAAAGGAAATTTGGCACCGCCTGAAGGTTCATACGACATTTTTCCTTAGCATGGCAATATGAACTTCTGATTGCGCTAGGTCTTTTTTATGAGGGCATACATTAAATCACGCGCTTTTATCTTGACAAGTGTTTACTTTAGATTGATCTGGACGGAACAATGTCGAGAATAATGACATGTGCCTCCTACAATACCTCTATTACTTTTCATATTCTAGAGCTTTCTATAAGGTGAAGAACATTCCTCTCATGTCTAAATAAGGGTCGATTTACCTCGTAATTTGACACCAATGCGCTGCACCTCATAACGCTAGTTTACACTTCCTATCACTCTGTCTAGACTATCAATGAGACCGGACCTGACGCAATGTTTGTCTAAAGCATCCTAAATATAGCGTTCATTCCTCGAAAATGTATCGACGCAGGTTCATGATTGACTGGTGAACTTTCAGTGTTCTTAAACATTATTCTCCTTATTCATTTCAAGCTCATTCTTGCACCAATTATTGAAAGGGTATCTTCTCATCAGTGCGCTAATGAGGGATATGTCCATAAAGACGGATCATGTGGTTTATTTTCACTAATAGAGCATTCAAGCTTTATTGTAAGTAGAAAAGCGTAAGGTGTCAGGTTTCATCTAGTCTTTGCTTTGATTATCCGCACAAAGGCACAGGCTGTATGAAAGTTAGCTTAATTTGCGTAAAAATTTTCAGTACGTATATTTTCGTGTGGTTATGGGCGCTTTAACGACCTTTTTAAACAAAATATCAGCAAATCATCAATTTTGATTAACTGCAAGTAGCTTAGAGAGGTATGAATAACAACTGACAGTACATTTATTACTTTCATCGCTCATGTGAATACTTTTTAATACATATATTTTCATACTACTTAAATCTGCCGTACGCAAATGTTTTCAATCCTTCATTTTTGAAAGGTAATGGATCATGGATCATATAATGAAAGGAATCAAATCATAATTCTTTAATTGCCACTTAGAAACCATTTTTTCTGCTTTCAATTTTTTTTCTTCTTTTTAAATTAGGGCCGTATTCGCTGTGCCCTTTAAATTGATCAGACTTGTGACTTTAAACCTTGATTAACTTTTTGGTGATAGGTAAACATGGCAACCATCCAATGGTGCCGTGGTCAGTTGTTACTGGGTTAGAGCCTTTTTGTGCGATGTATAAAAAATATGTAAAATCAGGTGACAGAACAACCTTGT